GATAGATAGATTAGATAGATAGATTAGATAGATAGATTAGATAGATAGATAGATAGATAGATAGATAGATAGGTAGATAGATAGATAGATAGATAGATAGGTAGATAGATAGATAGATAGATAGATTAGATAGATAGATAGATTAGATAGATAGATTAGATAGATAGATTAGATAGATAGATTAGATTAGATTAGATTAGATTAGATCAGATTAGATTAGATAAGAAAAGATAAGATTAGATAGATAGATAGATAGACAGACAGATAGATAGCTAGATAGATATGTGGATCGATAGATAGTTAGTTCGATAGATAGATAGATAGATATCTAGCTAGATAAGTAGGTAGATAGACAGGCAGACAAATAGACAGATAGATAGACAGATATACAGATAGATAGATAGTCAGACTGCCAGATAGACAGATAATCATTTAGAGAGGTAAACACGCAGATTGTCGATCTCGGTCGATCGATCTCGAGAGAGAGAGAGAGAGAACGAATGACAGAGCTCCCACCAAGAAGAAAGCCAAATAGTGCCTTGTCATATTCACCGCATCTAGCAGCTTGTCGATGCATTTTTGAAATGATTCCATCGCATGCCTCCCGTTGTGTCGTGGACCAAGCCCTACCACTCGAACCTGGGCTGCAATGGGAAGTGCTCGTGCCATAGCGTGATGCTACCAACGGATTTTGTTTACAAAGGCAACTGCATGCTTCCTCTCCATAAGCAGGTTGTGGATTCCACGACGGTTTTTGACGGGTTGATTTTGAATGCCACATGACTAGGGGCAGAACAGTGTCGCTGATCTGTAGGCTCTCAATTGGATCTGCCTGCAGGGTTTCCCTGTGAGCACTGCAGAGGTGGAACTGCTATCCAATACTGGGCCTGCTGAGGTTGAAGTTGAACAGGGGCTGCCTCACAGATGTGCAACACAATTGTTGCAGATTTGACATGTTCATTCTAGGCTATGTGACCAAAAGGGTTCCAAAGTTCAGCTGCTCCCAATTCGAATGAGATGCCAAGTGTCTTGACTGGAATTTGCCGCAGTTCACACAATCAGTGCACGTTCACAAGCATTGACAACTGTCTCCGGGCCTCTGGTGCTGGCTCAGGTTGCACTTCTTCTGCGGGAGTTACAAGCTCCAGATAGGCTTGGTGGAAGGTCATCCTATCTGTGCGTGGCTCTGATGCATACCACAGGCATAGACACACAGTGTTCAGTGTGTTCAAAGGATTTTGGTACCACTTGGTGCAGCTTTGGAATCTTAATCAAATCTTTCTGCTCCTGGACACATTTCTGTCACTGAGCTTGTGGGAAACCTCAACGAACCATGATACACGATGACACATGACACACGATGATACAAGCTCTCTGTGAAGCTCAGCACTGCTCTGGCTGAGCTCGGCACTATGACAGTCCCGCCATCCACTGCCTGGCAAACTGGGTAAGCTTCGCAGCTTTGAAAACTTCTCGGAGCTTTATGCAATGCTTCTCAGTCCTTTGTGTTCATCTCAGTTTGTTTGGGAATGTCCTATTTCGGTCTACAAGCTTTCATTGCGGGTCCTATGGTCAGGCGTCAGTCCTGTGTGTAGCTGACGTTGTCTCGCGGGTTACTTCTCCGATGCATGGATGTTCCGGCGCCTCTACAGTGTAGAGCTTGCCCTCATAGCTGGGATTGGCAGCGTGGCCCTTCAGCTGCACCTAAGCGCAGCGGAGCACCTTGTGTGAGTTTTACTCCAGGGTGGCGGAGCACAGCTGCATCCTCTGAAGCCCATTCCGGCCCATGCGACCCGTGCGTCTAAGACTGGAGCTTTGTCCCCTATCTTGAAACTGATCTCGGGACTGCCTACGGACAGAACCGGAGGAGCTTGTCTGTGTTAAGCGTCAAAAAATCTGATGTAAAATGATTTAAAATCAGCTCTGATATGCTTTGGCTTTTCAACAATAGCTGAACACATGTCGTTAAATCCGCCGACCCCAGGGAACCACGGGGAGCATGGAGGGGAAGACTGAAAATATTTGAAGGCATGGAGGGCAAGAAGGAGAAAGAATTTTCAAGAGGCAAAAGGAGAAGCAGATGAAAGAAGAAAGGCAGCTGCAAGAGCAAGCAAGATAGCAAGCAAGATGTGGAAGAAGAAAGCAAGCAAAAGACAAAGAAGCAAATGAAAGAAGAAAAGATCGCAAGAGAGCACGCAAGAGACACAGATATAAAAGCAAGCAGGTTGCACGGGAAGAATGGGAGTTGCAGAGATTGCGAGGTCGTTTATTGAGGTTTTGGGCTAGTTTCTTGTCGCTTCAGAAAGCAGCGTTAGGCACGACAGGCTGTGCGAAATGAAGCCCACATGGGTAAAAACGGGGTTTGCTGCCAAGTAGGGTTAGGAGAGTCCATTTTTTGCACTTTTTGGCGGATTTTTGCTGTTTTTTTTTGGGCGTGCCTTTGGCATGGAACAAGTACTTCTTGCAACGTGCTGAAAACTGTGTAAATACCAGTGTTTTTGCTAGGTGCTATCCAAAAACCAAAGGCAAAAACCTCGCAAAGACCGTGGTTTTGGGCTTCCGGGGCGCCAAAAACATTGGTATCTACGGTGCTTTTTGCTCCGAGAGTCTTCCAGAAACGTGAAAACGCAACCTATTTGACCATTTTTGGGCACCAACAATGAGCAAAAAAGATGTGTTGACAGCAGCAGCAGCAGCAGCAGCAGCAGCAGCAGCAGGAGCAGGAGCAGCAGCAGCAGCAACAGCAGCAGCAGCAGCAACAGCAACAGCAACAGCAACAGCAACACCACCAGCAACACCACCAGCAACACCACCAGCAACACCACCAGCAACACCACCAGCAACACCACCAGCAACACCACCACCACCACCACCAACAACAACAACAACAACAACACCAACACCAACAACAACACCAACAACAACACCAACAACAACACCAACAACACCAACACCAACACCAACACCAACAACACCAACAACAACAACAACAACAACAACAACAACAACCACAACCACAACAACAACAACAACAACAACACCAACAACGACAAACAACACCAACACCAACACCAACACCAACACCAACAACAACAACAACAACACCAACACCAACAACGACAAACAACACCAACAATAACAACAACAACAACAATAACAACAATAACAACAACACCAACAACACCAACAGCGACAAACAACACCAACAACACCACCACCACCACCAACAACAACAACAACAATAACAACAACAACAACAACAAACAACAACAAACAACAACAACCACAACAACAACAACAACAACCACCACAACAACAACAACAAAAACCACAACAACAACAACAGCAACAACAACAACAACCACAACAACCACAACAACCACCACAACGACAACAACAACAACGACCAACAACAACGACCAACAACAACGACCAACAACAACAACAACAACGACAACCAAACAAACAAACAAACAAACAAACAAACATACATACATACAAACAAACAAACAACAACAACACAGCGGCAGCAGCAGCAGCAGCAACATCAACAGCAACAGCAACAACAACAAAAACATGAACAGCAACCACTACCACTACCACAACCACAAAAGGGACCACAACAGGAACCACAACAGGAACCACAACCGGGCCCCTTGGGGCATCGCCGGTATGCGAAGCCCTACAATACGTGGTTAACTTGTTAAATGTCATTCTGTTGACACACTTGGCTGAACTATGCTGAACTCTTGATTTTTTTGCACGATCGCTGCGCCTGGTGCTGCGCCTGGCACTGCGCCTGGCACTGCCACTTGTTGCCTGGAGGGTCGGAGGCTCCCAAGTGCAGCACGCTAGACCCATGATACGTTGTGATTCGTATCGATTCGTGACATTCACCATAGGATGATGTTCATACACTGATGCTCATACACAAGATGTAGCAGCAATGTGGGTTGCAATACTCAACACGTTCAACTCTGAATTTCTTTGATGCAATTTCAACTAGGTGACTAAACTTTAAGTTTTGCCAGTATCTTTCCAATGGCAAACTATCTCTTCATGCTGGATGGATCTCTCTCAGATTGGCAAGCAGTCTGTCTTTGAATGGAACTTTCATGAAGCTCCTTGATTGAATCATCTTGAACCTGTATATTTGTATTCCGTTAGTCCCTTCTGCCAGCAAATCAGCTTCGCATGTCCAGTCTTTGTTCCCTAAACTCATCGAAGATGCACTGGTGCTGCTGGGCTCTGCATTGGAGGCCTCGGTTCACAAAGTAGAAAAGTGCATGGCTGGGCCTGTGGGCATGCTTCCCTGAGAGGATCGGGTCCTGCTGCCCCTAATGGCATCCCCAAACAGGGAAAATGCTATACAGCCCTTGGTAAATATGCATAAGAATGCCATGTCTGAAATCTGCTCAGTTTTCGTGAAAAGTCAAGAGCCCCGCCCACTTGACATGCCAAGCTCGTGGCAGGAAGGACATATTCATGGCTTGTGGCTGTCCATTCCCGTAAGGCGGCACCTTGGAAATATCGAGTCGGGACTCTGATTCTCTTATCTCGAGGACATTCCGGTACATTCTGCGAATTCTGCGTGCCTGATGCTTTTTTTCCAAGTTTCAATGCTTGAATAATGACTCTTTCAAGAACTCAGAGCCTTGCCATTTGCTGCGTTTGCATCAGCGGATGTACCTGTTGTGCCTGTGGCATTCCCCGAAGAGTCCCCATCAGCGGTGTCCTCAGGCGAAAAAAACGCAGAGCTATCGACAGCTACGGCTCCTCTCGCTGTCAACAGTTTCATCATGCCCCATCTAGGTTAGTCATGCTCTGACATGCTCTGAGCTCTCAACTGCGCCAAGAAGGGGTTGTCCTTGGAGAGCGTGCTATTGGCTGCTATTCACCAAGCAAACACCAATGATCAGTACTACTGTTTGTAGCAGTATAGAAGTAGCTGCTAGCTCACCCATTCGCAATCAGGCAACATCAGGCAACAGGCAACGCTCCAGGTTGACAGGTGCACTGACATGCGTGGACTCGGATCAAGTATCCTGAGTGTGAGGCCTGCACACCTGGCACCATTCCAGCATATGTTTGCCTCACACCGGGTCACGGTAGTGAGACATGAGCAAAATGATCCTGTCGCTCGATGTCAGCCCCAGGCATGGGAATGGTTGGCCCCACTGGCCCCATTGAAGCCATCCTTACGGCACATCTGGTGTGGGAACTGTAGGGGAAAAATGGGGAAAATGTGCTAGATTTCGAGTTTCAAGGTTTCGTGCTGCTGGAGGAAACCCTGTGCTTGGACGTCCACGGATACCCAGGTGGAAGGAAACTGGGAAATGGCCTGTACAATCTTGGCAGAGGAACTTGCTAGGCACATGTCAGGACAAAAGAAGATCGTTTGAACTTTAGTGGGCGATCACAATTCCAGCAGGCAACAGGTTTGAGAATATGGTTGTCAATTCCCACTATAGAGATGTTCTAGAAACAAACGCTTGAATTCTTGGATTGCTTCTTCCAAGCTATCAAGCTTGGCACAAAAACAAAAACGGAGACCTCATCTGCGGGGCAATCATGGCCATTTTGGCAGCCTTCCAAGCCAAAATCTTGCGAAAATCAGGGAATTCAAGTCTTTGTTGGCTGAGAAGGAGTCTGAGAAGTGAGAAGGACTCCAGGCTAAGATTTCGACCACAGCTCTGCGAAGTGGAAATATGGCTTCACCAAGCTTTGAGCCATGCCAGAAACAGACAAGACACAATGAGCTGAGAAATCATCAGAAAGCCTCAGAAAGTCCCTCCTATCTTTCACTTGACTAGTCGTGTAGACAGGCATTGAGGCAGATGCGCACTTCAGGTGGTGCCATACTGACCATGCTGAATCTGAATCCTGGACTAAATCTTCTTCCATCGCGCAAGGCTGTCTTAAACAAGTGCGCGAAAGTCTGCCTCTGCAAACAGTGGCCAAATCAAATCAGTTGGCCCGTCGACCGCATCTGAGTTGGAAACTCAGGTCATCAATCCTACACACGTGTCAGAATTTGGCTGTGCCGCTCAGTGGCTTGAACATGCTGGCCTATCAAAAAGCCGTTGCATGATACTGTTGAATCTGTTGAATGATCTTGAGGATGCAGGTCACCGATGTTGAAAGGAACGGAGTGTGTCCTATTGATGCGGTAATCCAAAGCCCACGGGTCACCAACCAGCACAGCCATTCGCAGAACCAGGGCAGCAGCCAACAGGTCGCTGGCTGTTTTGCGCAGCAAACTTTTGGCCACTGCCTCAGCCCTGTGACATATGAACTAAAGATAGAAAATATGAAAAAATATAAACATATGTAAACAGTGCCCAGGTGCAACCAAGGTCCCACTGTACAAGTGAAGCACCCATTCCTTCCACTTGCCTTCCAAATTCAATGCATATCGAGTGTCTCGATATCTGATCATGTTTTTTGTCTGCGCATAATTGCCGTACACACCACCGCATGCACTAGAAACGGAAATTGGGCGCATTTGCTTTCAGCTCTTTCCCTTTCCGTCCGGTAGACTTTGCTTGCGAAGTAGCTCGAGATACAGATGCACCATCCAATGCTCTACTCACCCTTTCCTTGGATGAAACAAAGGGGCAATCAAGAAAAGAATACTGCCCAGGATTTCACAACAATTGCACCACAATTGCACAACCTATCAGTGCTCTCCCTTAAAATTGGGCCAGGAGTCGATCTGAAATTGAAGTTCTTTTTGCATTCGCACCAGATCAGCCGGAGTCGGCTTGTGCCGTTGCGAAGGCTCTCTTTGTCGCGAAGCTGTCCTTCGAGCGCGGCTTGAGATCTGAGGCTCTCTTGGCCGGCTGTTTCCAGAGTTTCGACTGTTTCGATTGTTTGCTCGAGGAGTTTCTCTTCGGGACAGGCTTCCCTGGCCGGCCGGGCCCTGGCTGGCCTGGGCCTGGCTCGCCTTGATCGCACGCTCTCGGGAAACGCCAGGTCCGCGGTCAGAGAGTGATTTGTGTAGCTTGCTCTGCGACACTGACTGGTGCAATTTGCGGCTCTGACTTGGATTTCTTGGACTTCTTGGAGTCCTTGGAGAACTTCCTTGACTAAAACTCCTCACATCACATGCACTTGCGCTCCTTGCACTCCTTGCCAGTCTGGCAGAGCTGGGCCTATCGGAGTGCCTAGACTTGTAAGAAGCAGAGGTCGCAGATGGATTCTGTGTGGGGCCTCTAGTCGGGCTCGCAGATGGTGAGCGTCGTAGCCCGGTGGTGAAAAGGATGTGGGTCCAGGTGTCTAGTCCTTCAAAGGCAAGGCTGCGTTTGATCACATACGTCAAAGAATTTCAAATTCACTTGTCGTTTGATCAAGGCCCTCCTGCAGGCTTATCATCTCCAGCCAGAGGCCACTGGTTCACATTGCGGGGCAGCTGTGAGGAAGGCCATCCTGGTGCTTCAGTATCTCCAGAATCAAGGGCTTATGCAGCACATACTGTGTCTTGAGTGGCATGGCCCACTAGGTCACTAGAACATACGAAAACAATAAACCATGCGCAGCAAGAAGAATCACGTTGGAATGAGGTCGGTCAGGTCCGGTCAGGTCAACTGTTGAGTCAGCCAAGGCACGAGAGGAAGGTGGCCACTTGCATGGTGACCACTTGTTCTTCTCCCTACACGCTGCCGGGTGCAACACATCAATGGGAGAAAACCAGTCTAACGTTTAGTCAGATTCACACATGAAATACAATGATATTCAGTCCAAGCCGAAACGTCTCAGACAAGAGAAACTCGGAGATATGCAAGGGACATCAGGTGACCATCAGGTGACCACTGCCTGGGACTATCCGAATGCAGGGGCCGCTTTGCTGGAAGCGCATCCTGTTTGTCAGATTTAATGCAGTGTTAAATTCACACATCTCTCGTCCGTCATCTATCAAATCTATCATATCTATCCCAATAATTAAAAATGTCTTAAGATTTCTCCCACTTTGATACCCAAGACAAGCAGAGGTCCACTGTGTCACTGTGTCCTCCGTCTGTACATGAACACCATCCAGCAGGCCGCGTCGTTCATGTCGCTGGAGATTGGGAACAATGCCTTCATCAGCTCTCCTGCGGGGTAAAGCCTGGAAACATTATTTAGTCTTGTAAAAATGAATTCCTGAGAGAGGTCCAAAATCAAGGGAAAAAGTATAAAAAAAAGTAAACAAATTACACCACCGTAAACCCCAAACAGTCAAACAGTGGGTGGAAAAGTGCTTTGAGGAACAGGTCAAACACATGAAATAGCAGCGGCAGGAAACGTGATAATGTCTGCAATAAGTGCCTGCCACTTCACATTTATTGTTTTTCGGTTTCGCTAGCTTTGTCGCAACACTGGGTATCGAGAAACAAAGGGAAACAAGAAGGAAGACAAGCTGGGAGAGAAAGGAGACAAGGCTTCGGGAAGGTGGACACACCGTTCAACAAAGGGAAACAAGAAGGGAGACAAGCTCGAAGACAAGCGAGACAAGGCCTTGGGAAGGCGGACACACCATCCAACAAAGGGAAACAAGAAGGAAGACGAGTTGGGAGACAAGATGGGAGAAAAGCCGGGAGACGAGTGGAGACGACACCTCGGGAAGGCGGACACACCATCCAACAAAGGCACACATGTGGGGAGACAATGGGAGACAAGACCTCGGGAAGGCGGACACACCATCCAACAAAGGATAACAAGAAGCGAGACAAGCTAGGATACAAGCTGGAAGACAAGGGTGAAAAAGCCTTGGGAAGGCGGATGCACCATCAAACAAAGGGAAACAAAAAGGAAGACAAGCTGGGAGACAAGCTGGAAGAAAAGCTGGGAGACAAGCTGGGAGGCAAGGTGGGAGACAAGCTGGGAGACAAGCTGGGAGACAAGGGGGACAAGGGAGGGTGGACACACCATCCAACAAAGGGAAACAAGAAGGCAGACAATGGGAGAGAAAGCGAGACAAGACCCCCGGGAAGGCCGACACACCATCCAACAAAGGGAAACAAAAAGGGAGACAATAGGACCCAATAGGAGACAAGGGGAGACAAGACCTCGGGAAGCCGGACACACCATCCAACAAAGGGAAACAAAGCTGGGAGACAAGCTGGGAAAACAAAACGGCGGGACATGGAGAAGCTGGAGACAAGCTGGGAGACAAGCTGGGAGACCGCCTGCAAGACAAGCTGGGCGTCGAGCTGGGAGATACGCTGGGAGACAGGCTGGGAAACAAGCTGGGAGAAAAGCTGGGTAACAAGCGGGGAGACAACCGGGCACACCATCCAACAAAGGGAAGCAAGAAGGAAGACAAGCTGGGAAACAAGCAAAGCTGGTAGACAAGCTGGGAGACAAGCTGGGAGACAGGGGGACAAGGCCAAAGGCAGACACACCATCCAACAAAGGGAAGCAAGAAGGGAGACAATGGGAGACACGGGGAGACAAGCTTCGGGAAGACAGACACAGCATCAAACAAACGGAAACAAGAAGACAGACAATGCGAGACAAGGGAGACAAGACCTCGGAAAGCCGACACACCATCCAACAAAGGGAGACAAGAAGGGAGACAATGGGAGACAAGGGGGGGGGCAAGGGGAGACAAGACCTCGGGAAAGCGGACACACCATCCAACAAAGGGAAACAAGAAGGCACAATGGGAGACAGGGCCTCGGGAAGGCGGACACACCATCCAACAAAGGAAACAAGAAGGGAGACAATGGGAGACAAAGCGGGACAAGACCCTCGGGAAGGTGGACACACCACCCAACAAAGGGAAACAAGAAGGGGTATACAATGGGAGACAAGGGGAGACAAGACCCTTGGGAAGGCCGACAGACCACCCAACAAAGGGAAACAAGCTGGGAGACAAGGGGAGACGAGGCCTCGGGAAGACGGACACACCATCCAACAAAGGGAAAAAAGAAGGAAGACAAGCTGGGATGTCTGCGGACAAAGGGAGACAAAGCCTCGGGAAGGCGGACACACCATCCAACAAAGGGAAACAAGAAGGGGTACAATGGGAGACAAGGGAGACAAGACCCTTGGGAAGGCCGACAGACCACCCAACAACGGGAAGACTGACACACCATCCAACAAAGGGAAACAAGAAGGATTAAGACAAGCTGGGAGAGCTGCGGACAAAGGAAGCAAAGCCTCGGGAAGGCGGACACACCACCCAACAAAGGGAAACAAGAAGGGGTATGCAATGGGAGACAAGGGGAGACAAGACCCTTGGGAAGGCCGACAGACCACCCAACAAAGGGAAACAAGCTGGGAGACAAGGGGAGACGAGGCCTTGGGAAGACGGACACACCATCCAACAAAGGGAAACAAGAAGGAAGACAAGCTGGGAGAGCTGCGGACAAAGGGAGACAATGCCTCGGGAAGGCGGACACACCATCCAACAAAGGGAAACACGAAGGGGTACAATGGGAGACAAGGGGAGACAAGACCCTTGGGAAGGCCGACAGACCACCCAACAAAGGGAAACAAGCTGGGAGACAAGGGGAGACGAGGCCTCGGGAAGACGGACACACCATCCAACAAAGGGAAACAAGAAGGAAGGCAAGCTGGGAGAGCTGCGGACAAAGGGGGACAAAGCCTCGGGAAGACGGACACACCATCCAACAAAGGGAAACAAGAAGGAAGACAAGCTGGGAGAGCTGCGGACAAAGGGAGACAAAGCCTCGGGAAGGCGGACACACCATCCAACAAAGGGAAACAAGAAGGAAGACAAGCTGGGAGAGCTGCGGACAAAGGGAGACAAAGCCTCGGGAAGGCGGACACACCATCCAACAAAGGGAAACAAGAAGGAAGACAAGCTGGGAGAGCTGCGGACAAAGGGAGACAAAGCCTCGGGAAGGCGGACACACCATCCAACAAAGGGAAACAAGAAGGAAGACAAGCTGGGAGAGCTGCGGACAAAGGGAGACAAAGCCTCGGGAAGGCGGACACACCATCCAACAAAGGGAAACAAGAAGGAAGACAAGCTGGGAGAGCTGCGGACAAAGGGAGACAAAGCCTCGGGAAGGCGGACACACCATCCAACAAAGGGAAACAAGAAGGAAGACAAGCTGGGAGAGCTGCGGACAAAGGGAGACAAAGCCTCGGGAAGGCGGACACACCATCCAACAAAGGGAAACAAGAAGGGGTACAATGCGAGAGAAAGGGGGACAAGACCCTCGGGAAGAGGGACACACTATCCACCAACGGTTAGAGGTCTCGTAAACGCGTGCAGACAGGCGTCACCATATATGATATATGATAAACATAATTCCAATGTTTACTGACTTGCCTCGATTCTGAATTGAATGTACTCAACATCTATTCAACACCTATCCGACATATAATCCACATAAAATCGACATATAATCCACATAGATTCAACACATATACTCAACATCTATTCAGCATCTTATCAACATAAATCCGACATATGATCCACATAAATTCAACACCTACACAATGTTGTATTCAACATACATATATTCAACACATAATCAAAATCTATTCAACATAAACTCAACATGTAATCAACATCTGCTCAACACGCCGACAGACGCCATCTGGAAAACAAATAAGAACAACTATAAGAAAACGTATCTGCAAACGTAGGAACATCTTCTATCAGAGTAACATCAGACCCATGTTCGCGTAGCTTAAGCACATGTGCAAGCGGAGCAACATGTTAAATGCCAAGGAACGTTGTTAGCCCCACCCCACCCCACCTGCGTAGCTTAACCACATGTGCAAGCGTAGCAACATCTTCTATCAACGTAACATCAGACCCATGTTTGTGCAACATAACCACATGTGCAAGCGTAGCAACATCTTCTTAAATGCCAAGGAACGTTATTAGCCCCACGCCACCCCACCCCAACCCCACTAAACACTGACATACATGGTAAAAAATGCACAAAAACTCGCTGTGCCTATGGAAAGTACGTCCTAAAAAATGAGCATTTTCAGGCCGACCAAGCCTCCAACAAAGGGAAGCAAGAACAGGCACAATGGGAGACAGGGGGAGACAAGACCTCGGGAAGGCAGACACACCATCCAAGAAAGGGAAACAAGAAGGGAGAAAAGCTGGGAGACAAGGAGAGAAAAAGCCTCGGGAAGGCGGACACACCATCCAACAAAGGATAACAAGAAGCGAGACAAGCTAGGATACAAGCTGGAAGACAAGGGTGAAAAAGCCTTGGGAAGGCGGACGCACTATCCAACAAAGGGAAACAAGAAGGGAGACAATGGGAGACAAGGGGAGACAAGACCCTCGTGAAGGCCAACACACCATCCAACAAAAGAAACAAGAAGGGGTATAATGGGAGACAAAGGAAGACAAGACCCTCGGGAAGGCGGACACACCATCCAACAAAGGGAAACCAGAAGGGGTACAATGAGAGACAAAGGGGAGACAAGACCCTCGGAAAGGCTGACACACCATCCAATAAAGGGAAACAAGACGGGGTACAATGGGAGACCAGGAGAGGCAAGACCCTCGCGAAGGCGGACACACCATCCAACAAAGGGAAACAAGAAGGGGTACAATGGGAATCAAGGGGAGACAAGACCCTTGGGAAGGCCGACAGACCACCCAACAACGGGAAACAAGCTGGGAGACAAGGGGAGACGAGGCCTCGGGAAGACGGACACACCATCCAACAAAGGGAAACAAGAAGGATTAAGACAAGCTGGGAGAGCTGCGGACAAAGGGATACAAAGCCTCGGGAAGGCGGACACACCATCCAACAAAGGGAAACAAGAAGGGATACAATGGGAGACAAAGGGAGACAAGACCCTCGGGGGAGACAAAGGGAGACAAGACCCTCGGGAAGGCGGACACACCATCCAACAAAGGGAAACCAGAAGGGGTACAATGGGAGACAAAGGGAGACAAGACCCTCGGGAAGGCGGACACACCATCCAACAAAGGGAAACAAGAAGGAAGACAAGCTGGGATGTCTGCGGACAAAGGGAGACAAAGCCTCGGGAAGGCGGACACACCATCCAACAAAGGGAAACAAGAAGGGGTACAATGGGAGACAAGGGAGACAAGACCCTTGGGAAGGCGGACACACCATCCAACAAAGGGAAACAAGAAGGGAGACAATGGGAGACAATGGGAGACAAAGGGAGACAAAGGGAGACAAGACCCTCTGGAAGGCGGACAGACCATCCAAGGAAAGGAAACAAGGGGAGAGAAGGGGAGACAAGACCCTCGGGAAGGCAGACACACCGTCCAACAAAGGAAACAAGAAGGGGTACCCTCGGAAAGGCTGACACACCATCCAACAAAGGGACACAAGAAAACGGAGACAAGACCTCGGAAAAGCGGACACACCATCAAACAAAGGGAAACAAGAAGGGGTACAATTGGAGACAACGGGAGACAAGACCCTCGGGAAGGCGGACACACCATCCAACAAAGGGAAACAAGAAGGGGTACAACGGGAGGGAGACAAGGGGAGACAAGACCCTTGGGAAGGCGGACAGACCACCCAACGAAAGGAAACAAGGGGAGAGAAGGGGAGACAAGACCCTCGGGAAGGCGGACACACCGTCCAACAAAGGGAAACAAGAAGGGGTACAATGAGAGACAAAGGGGAGACAAGACCCTCGGAAAGGCCGACACACCATCTAACAAAGGGGATCGACACAAGAAGGGGTATAATGGGAGACAAAGGGAGACAAGACCCTCGGGAAGGCGGACACACCATCCAACAAAGGGAAACCAGAAGGGGTACAATGAGAGACAAAGGGGAGACAAGACCCTCGGAAAGGCTGACACACCATCTAACAAAGGGGACACAAGAAGGGGTATAATGGGAGACAAAGGGAGACAAGACCCTCGGAAAGGCGGACACGCCATCCAACAAAGGGAAACAAGAAGGGAGACAATGGGAGACAAAGGGAGACAAAGGGAGACAAGACCCTCGGGAAGGCGGACACACCATCCAACACCAAGGCGTACACCTTAAGAACGCATTAAGAACCCCTAACAGTACACTCTTTGAAAAATAAACACCCCCGTAGACCCCAAACAGTTTTTCCACATCCATTGCAGCCTCTGCGTGCATGTTTGTGGTTATACTTGCTCCTGATGCTGGCAATTGTTAGTCCATCTCAATTGAGAACAGCGTGAATCATAAGCAACATGTTTTTCATGTTATTGCTATTTGGGGTCTATTCTGGTGTAACTCCTGAGACAACAAGAAGACACAAAGGGAGAAGAGAACAGAGATCAGGACCAATCACAAATGAAATCGTGATCAAACAAGAACAGGACACCGCACGGGGGAGACATGAACGGGGAGACAAATGAAGTGGGGGACATGGTGAGAAACAAATTAAATGATGGAAGACACGCACAAAGGCGAACAGGCGAAAGAATCAGACACCACCACTAAGCCAGACTGATGATTGAAGACAAATGAGTTGCGAGACAGATGAAATGCGGACAGCCGGACACCACTAGCCATAGTGGGAGACACATGAAAGAAGAGACGTAAAGACAGACACCCGTAGAGCCAGACAACACTAGCCAGAATGCGAGACACCACTAGCCAAAGCAGGAAATAAATGAAGGGAGACAAGTGAAGAGAGACATCTGGAGAGCCGGACACCACTGGCCCGAGCAGGAGACACTTGCAGGGAAACCCGGAAACAAGTACCGTAACAAGAGAAATTAGAGAGTCAGACACCAGTAGCCAGGGTGGGAGACACAGGGAGACGGAGACAAGTAAAGAAAGACATCCGGAGAGCCGGACACAGTTAAGCCAGCTTTGCAACCCAACAGCAATGATGGTTTCAAATTCAAGGCTAAGGGATAAAATTGGAAGACGATTGAAAGGCCACATCTGGGAGGAAGCTCGGAAACAATTGGAAAGCAAGTGAGAAATCATTGGGGGACTACAGGAAGTGTAAATCCGGGAGGGGTTAAGTGGAAGACAACAGGGAGAGAATTGGGAGAGCACATCTGGAACAAACTGGGAGACAATTGGAAGACCAGATCTGCAAGACAAACACGAGACAACTAGGTGACAAGTGGGAAACAACATCTGAAAGACACCTGGGAAACAACGGGGTGACAAATGGAAAACACTTGGAGACAATTGGAAGACCAATTCGGGGAGACAAATGAGAATTGTGGAAGGAAATTGGAAGACAATTGGGAGATCACATCTGGGAGACAAGTGGAAGACAACTAGACAAACTGGGAGACAACATCTAGGAAACCACATCTGGGAGACAACTGGAAGACAATTGGGAGACCACATCTGGGAGACATGTGAAGACAACTAGACAACAAGTGGAGAAACCTTTCCAATGTTCAGCAGATTGACCAAGTTGTTCCTTCAAGATCAGATTTTGCAGCCAAGTTTCCTTTTTTGATTTGTCTTTATTATTTGTTTTGCTTTTTGTTTTTCCTCAGCTTTTGAAACATTTTGGATTTTTTCGCCAGGACGATGAAAAGAAACAAATCCAGACTCAAAAGAAGGCTCAACAGAAGATCCAATTCCGGACGCACATTTGCACTTTTTTCTGAGTCTTCTGTTGAGTCTGTGCTTTCCAGTTGTTGTTTTTTTGAATGTATGTGTTTCTTTGTTTGTTGTTTATGTGCGATTGTTTTTTGTTTTTTTTATCTTCTGGTGGTTTTTCAGTCTTTTGGGGAATCAACACTTCTCTGGGCATTCGATTTTATAAATTTAGTCTGAGAACTAAACAGATAAAAACACGCAGAGACAATCAAGCAATGTATGTCAGCGCCCTGTTTTTCTATGTTTTTTGGCAACGCAGGGAAACACGCCAAGGAAATGAGGTTTTGATCGCCGTGCTGAGCTGCTGATTCTTGATGTGTTGCAGCGGCTCACTGCTCCTCTGCCGGGGTGAGGACTGCGCAGAACCTCGAAGCCACTGCAACCCAAAGGGCCCGAAGTCAATTCTAGGCACCACAAATAAAGTCCAAGAAGGGCCGGTACCTCCTGTGCCGGCAGATGTTGAGATTGAACTCAGCAAAGCTAGCTCCGTCGCAGAAACCTTGGTGAATAGGAAAGCAGGGAGGTTTTCAATTTAAGCAGGGCTCTGCCATCACTGCCACCTATTAAGCTGCCAAGTTGCAGTTTTCCCTTCTGGGTTTACAGCTTCGGGTGTTGTTGGGCGAGCCTGGATACAAATGCAGTGTACACATGTCATCTACATGTGTCTACTGTATACGTAAATCTGTACATACATTCATATAACGACATGTATATCTGCATATAATATAATCATATGCATAAATATATTTGTATATATATATATATATATGATTGTGTATGTATATATATATATATGTGTGTATGATTGTGTATGTATATATATATATGTGTGTGTGATTGTGTATGTGTATATATATAGTATGTATACATACACATCACCAGACATATATTGTGCGTGTTCATTCCTTTCAATGTTTGGTATCGATTACATGAGACCCAGCCTGCCGTGGCGTGGGTATGCCACTGCTCATGCGCAGCAAAGCCTGAGGTCCGAGACATAGTCCGCCGGTCGCACTTTTGCTGGGTGAGGTGCTTCATAAAGTGCAGGAAGTCAACACACACTGCTATGTATGGTTTGTCCAGACTTTCCACATCTACATTCCAGCTAGACATATTTGATTTTATTTTAGTTTGGGCTAGATGGATGATTCATAGTTTTCTGGCCGGTGCGAATTGACTCACTTCTGGAGCATCGTTTGACACATCAAAAGACTCTGGGAGTCGAATTGTTCTGGTTTTGTTGTCGTTCCATTTGCTAAGACATACTGTTTGTACAATGCTGAAACTTGAACCATGGGGTTCCGGCAATCTCAGCAGCGGCTTGCGCACGCCCTGAAGGCAGCAAAGTGCAAGGCTGCATGGTTTCGTTTGACTGTACTTTCAGTTCCAAGTTCCCGCATTATCCTAATATTCTAGTATTAAGTTTGAAGTTTGAACATATTTAAAAAAATACATCACAATTTGATATGTAGTTCAGCATTTAAAGCATTGAACATTGACTGAGAATTGCAAAATGACTATATAGGTCCTGTTTGAAACAGCTTGTGTCCCCTGTGTTGTGTTCTGCATGTTGTAGATCCCTTTTGGGGGGGTTGCTGGAGGTCCTGTCCTGGACAGGTTCATGCTGAAAGGCAGAAAGCACAGAGTTGCAAGGGCACTGAAAGAATACTATAAATATACTATAAAATAATACTGAAATGGCGACTTCCAATTGCCACATTTCAAAAACAATGCCCCTCTGCAGAATGCAAAACCCCCCCAACTCTGTGCATCCCAAGTATAAATCCTCCACAGAATCTGTCCCCGTTCAGGTCAAAAATTGAGATACATAAACATGATAGTCCTGAAAGTTGAGGATAAAAAGTACCAACTATATACAGTTTGATTTGTACAATCCACACCGTTCCTGATCCTATTTGGATATATATTTCGGGGGTGAAATATTTCTCTACATTCATGGGATGTGAAGTGAGTCCGAACTGACTGCATTGGTTTCTTACATGCGGGCTCATTGATGACAACTCAATCGCACCTTCTTGCTCTGCTCTAGAGGCTGCAGCCTCGCAGAAATCTCCAGGCAAAAAGCAACAACATCAAACCATGTCAAAACTGCTTTCTCAACATTTGGGCGTAGCATCCAAAAGAGAAGGAAAATCTACACTCAGGCGCTTCTGGATTCAAGGATGCAAGTGCCTTCCAGGAATTTGGCGACACTGATCTTGATAGAACCTCAATTGAGCAGTGAGCCACAGTCGGAAGAGCCAGGAATCAGAAGCTCTCAGAAGCTCTCAGAAGCCATTAGTCGAACTTAGTCAAACTTACAGACTTACAGAGTCACATTTGAGTGCCGTGTCACAAAATGTCCCGGCATCCTGCAGCATCCGGCAGCAAATTTCTCTCATGCGTCCATAGGTTTCAAACACCGCTTGTGGGCCTCAATCCCTAATGCGAACAAAGTTAATCTCTACACCGAGTAATGAAGCCAAGTGCCAACAAAGGCACAAACAAAAAAGCACATTGAAATGTGGCCAATTTGCAAGCAACAAGTGTCACAATGATATTGGTCAAGGACATCTGCAGTGCCTTTGTTGAAAAATTGCACTTGAAAGTCTACAGTCTGTACATGCAACCTACTCGGCAAGGCTATAGACATTCAAAGACGCTTAACACGCTGCACTAAGAGCTGGTCTACCACCCAGGTACACATATATATATATATAAACATATATACGGTTCAAGTTTGGCAAGTCTCTTGACATTTTGCTGGTCAACTCTGTTCCAGGAACAAACCTAGTTTTTGAGGTCAAGAACAAAGGAAACCGTTTGCAGATCTGAATACCAAAATCGAATATCGAATCAAAACCAAAGGGCTTTACCTGAGCAGTCGATTCATGAATTACTGATGAATTCCTAAGCATGCGCATGCGGTGAAAGAACCATCATGGACGCAAATCCGCTGATGGGGGCTTTTCTGATGTAAGTACTCAAAAGAAACTGTAGCGAGAGAAATGACATCTATAATATAGACATATGTATATATATATATATATGTATATTGTATCGTGTGTGTGGGTATATATATATATACTGTATATATATATATATTCATGCAATGATTTTCAAGTACTTTCAACATCTTTAAAATCGTCCTTCGGTCCTTCACCATTTTTGAATGCATTGAATGCTTTGCAAAAGTCTCACCCTTTGGCTGCATGCCTCCGTTCGGCAAATCCAGACCTGATCGGCAGCTTGAAATGGTGCTTTGCAAAAGGCTCACTTTGGTGCTGTGATGTGCTGTGCAGTTTTGTGCAAAGCCTTCTTGTTTTTTTCTGGAATGTGAGAACTTGAGAAATGCAAATCGGAATTCCAAGCTTTCCCACTTGGAAGTGATGACTCTGGCTGGCCTTGTCCACAACAAAGCTGCTCGCATCCTGCTTGGTGGCTTTCCTGGACTCCAGTTCTCCCTGCCAATGTGCACAAAATGGCGAAACTTGCACCTGTAGCTGTGCTGGACCTATGCTCCTATGCTATCCTATGGTTGTGTCGTGAGTCTGTCCGAGATACCGGAGATACCTGTCCGAGTTGCAACGTCCTATCCTGAATCCATACCTGTCCTAACATATCTAACATATCTTAACATCTTTCTCCGCTTAGCGCCTGAGCCACTGCATTTGCTGCGGAAGGCGATCCAGAGCTGCGTTGGCCGACTCCCTCACCTGGCGAGCGAGTGGACTCCGAGTGGAATGAGTGGGTCAGGAATGCCACTTGGAATGCCATGTGGGCCATGGAATGCAATGTTAAGCACAATGGGACCGTGACAGGATATTAAAGTGTTATAACATGTTGGTGCTCCCCGCCGCACATATGTTTGCTTGGAAACTATCGTCACACCACAGTGCATTACATATGCAACATTCATGAAATTATGATGATAGAAATTGATATATATATATATACATATATATATATGTGTGTGTGATACAATGATATACATGATATATATATATATATATTGATATAGAGTGTATTTGCTTGTATTGCCCATGCATTGCCCATGCTTGAGGTGAAGTGCAGAGATCGACTGTGCACGATGTCACGCAGGTCCGGTACCTGGGGCGAGGGATGCCAAAGCAGCTCCTGAAGCACTGGAAGAGGTGCCTTTGAGCCTCTCTGTAACAGCCGGCCCAAAGCTTGCTGTGCAGCCACCTCGTCATCTTGAGTCATCTTGAGTCATCTCGAGTCATCTCGAGTCATCATTCTGATGGGGAACACAAAAGGAAACACAGTGAACAAGCAACGATGCAGCTATTGTCCACACTTCGATTGATTTAGATCATCTCGAACCTACATGACTTTGCCAAGTGTATTCTGTGTATGCACTGGCAGTTTTGGCTAGGAGATATATTCCCCTTTTGGTTTCGAAATTTGGGAAGGTTTAGGGTCACCTTGGAGATCCTTGGAGTTTATCGCGCACATCCTTGAGTTTTGCGGAGTTGAGTGGAGCTTCGAACCAGAGCGTGATCCGTTAAGATGGTTAAGAGATGTTAAGAGTCTAACTGTTGTCGTGGCGAAAGATTCGGACCTGGGAACTCGGATCAGCAACTTCCATGAAGGATGCCAGCTTCCGCACGATTGCCTTTCGAAGTCTGTGAGAGGTCTTTGGTTTCTCCCGAAAAAAATGAAAACTGCGCTTTGGCTTTGACATCACACCCTGCACCTGATCCTGTGGATCGCAAATCCGCCCTGCAGCAAGAATGGCTGTGGATCTCACTGATGTTGCTGCATCATCAAGGCGGCTGAAGATCAAACCTCATAAGTGCAGGTTTTCAAGTGCGCAACATGTACAGGGAAGTTTGCAGTAGCCAAAAGAAGACAGTTTTTTGGTGTATAAATGTCCTGAAATCAAGACGCTTTGGAGAGCCGTATTGTTGCTGGCAATCTTTTCAACGGCAGATATGGCAGCTTTGCGCACAGACGCTCGAGGATCCTGACGAAAAGGGGCGGCAAGAAATGATGGGTTTTGGATTCCACCAAAGGGACACTCAAGCTGACTCAAAGGATCTGAAACTGCCACACATTGTCACTGTGTCCTCCAAACTGGCAGAAAGCAAAGCATGAACGTCAGGAAATCGTTCAGCATCTTCTGCCACCACTCCAAATCTCAGAGCGAAGGTATTCCCTTTCAAGTATCACCCTGGATCTACATACATGTATGACATGTATGTATTATATATAGATAGATAGATAGATAGATAGATACATAGATAGAGAGATAGATAGATTGATAGATCGATGGATCGATGGATAGATGGATAGAAAGATAGATAGATAGAGAGAGATAGATAGATAGATAGATAGGTAGACAGATAGACAGATAGACAGATAGACAGATACATAGATAGATAGATAGATAGACAGATAGACAGATAGATAGATTGATAGATTGATAGATTGATAGATTGATAGATTGATAGATAGATAGATAGAGAGATAGAGAGAAAGAGAGATAGAGAGATAGAGGGTTAGAGAGATAGAGAGATAGAGGGATAGAGAGATAGAGGGATAGAGAGATAGAGAGACAGAGAGGTAGAGAGATAGAGAGATAGAGAGATAGAGGGATAGAGAGAGATGGATGGATGGATGGATGGATGGATAGATAGATAGATAGATACATTGTTTGTATACATGTATACATATATACGTATATACATATATACATATTTACATATTTACATATATACATATATACATATACATATATATATATTTACATATATACACAAATACATATATACATATATGGTCTCGTGTTCCGTTTTCCTCCCCCCCCCCCAATGGTATGGGTCCCCACGTAGCACCCCGTTCCCTTCCATTTGCAAGCTATTGGCAGCATTTCTGAGGTCCAGCCTCGTATTTGCTAGGTTTTTGCAGCGATTCTGACTACCAGCCTCGCATTTACTAGGTACATGCTACCTTTTAGACGACCTACGTAGCACACATACTCCCTCAAAGTACCTACGTGCTACCTATAGTTATATACACAAGTGCTATGTATCTACTTCATATATATATATATTTATTTATTTATTTATATATTTATGTATGTCTGTATGTGTGTATTTATTTATTATAGGCACATACATCTATATATATATATATTTACATACACATACATTTATTTATATATATACACATATTCATATTTATCTATACATATATATATATACACACACATAGATATATTCATATGCATATATATATACACACACTTACATACATACATACATACATACATACATACATATATATATATATATAAATGCAAATAAAAACATATATATATATATCGTATACATGTATACATGTATACATGTATACATACATACATACATACATACATACATACATACATACATACATACATACATACATACATGCATGCATGCATGCATACATACATACATACATATATATATATTTACACATACATACATACATATATAATTATACATACATATATATATAACCACACCCCCACCACACCACAGGGGGAGTACTATGGCTGACCCATGACCATGGCGGGGGGGTTGGAACGCTGGACCATATATACATATATACGTATATACATATATACATATACATATACACATTTACATATACATAAACATACACACATTTACATATACATAAACATATACATACACGAACACATACACATACATCATATATGATATATATATATATACATATACAAATGTACATACATATTTACATATTTTTACATGCATGCATACCATTACAATACAATACAATACATTACATTACACTACATTAAATTACATTACATACCATTACATACCATTACATAGCATTTCATTGCATTACCATACTTTACCTTACATTACCCTACATTACCATACATTACCATACATTACCATACATTAACATACATACATGCATAGATGCACACATACATACATACTTACTTACCATACTTACAATACTTAGAAAACTTACAATTCTTACAATACATACAATACATACAATACATACAATACATACAATACATGCAAGACATACAAGACAGACAAGGCATACAAGACACACAAGGCATACAAGACATACAAGACATGCAAGACACACAAGACATACAAGACATACAAGACATACAAGACATACAAGACCCACAAGACATACAAGACATACAAGACACTCAAGACATACAAGGCATACAAGACATGCAAGACATGCAAGACATGCAAGACTTACAATACATACAATACATACAATACATACCATACATATAATGCATACAATGCATACAATGCATACAATGCATACAATATATACAATACATACAATACATACCATACATACCATACATTCCATACATACCATACATACCATACATACCATTCATACCATGCAGACCATGCAGACCATACACACCAAACACACACACACACACCACACACACCATACATACCATAAATACCATGCATACCATACGTGCCATACATACCATACATACCATACCATACATACCAGACCATACCATACCATCCATTGCATTACATTAAATTACATTACATTACATTTCATTACATTACATTTCATACATTACATACATTACATTCACTACATACATTACATACATTACATACATTACATACATTACATACACTACATGCATTGCATACATACCGTTCTTAACATGCACGTGATACATAACATACATAACATACGTACCATACAAACCATACAAACCATACACACATACATACATACATACATACATACATGCATGCATGCATGCATGCATGCATGCATCAATCCATCCATCCATCCATCCACCCATAAATCATACATACATTACAATACAATACACTACATTACATTGCATTACATTACATTGCAGTACATTACATTACATTACCTTTCCATACATACATACATACATACATACATACATACATACATACATACATACATACATACATATATATACATACACACAGACAGACAGACATAACATAACATAACAAAACATAACATAACATACATGACATAAATACATAACATACATACACAGCATACCATACGTACCATACATACCATACATACCATACATACCATACATACCATAGCATACCATACATACCATACCATACCATACAATACCATACCATACCATTACATTACATTACATTACACTACATTACATTACATTACATTACATACATACATACATACATTACATACATACATACATACATACATCCATACATCCATCCATCCATCCATCCATACATACATACATACCATATATACCATGCATACATACCATGCACACCATACATACCATACATTCCATATGGACACCGTGAATTCCATTGCCCCTGAATCTATATGTACATTTAAAAACGTGTATGTGTATATATATATATATATATACATGTATATGTGAATCTATCTATATGTAGATTTACATATGTATATCTAAATATATGTATATATATATAAACAGAAATCACATGCATCAAATAGCTGGCCCTGACCCCTCACTCAAAACGCAATGCGTGAAAAAGAAACTGAAAAATCCCATAGGTACAACTCAGAAACAAAACCAATACATGCCCAGGATTTGCAATTACTGAGGTATGGATCATGGGTATGGATCATAGGTATGGATCATGTCCCTAAAGGGGTATGGATCGCGGGTATGGATCATGGGGTATGGATCATGGGGTATGGATCGCATGTGGTCCCGGGGTATGGATCGGAACCTTACATTTTGAGCTGCAGCCATATGTTTACATGTGTGATTGTGTGTGAAATATTGCATAGGCCTTGTTATGCAGCAAATTACGCCAATCTTCTGGTTCGCTCAAGCAACGGTCTGCAGCCGAACGACACTCTTAAGGCTGTCTTACGCACCTCAATGCTCGAATCTGTCAATCTCCTGCAGAAATCACAGCTTTTTGGAAGCATCTTAAGCAAAATTCATCAATCGGTAGCGGTACAATTTCAGGCCATCTCAACTCTCCAGAAGCGCCTCACAATTTCCTCAACCGCTTGTGGGTCTCCTGAGGAACACAAGTGAATATTCAGCGACTTTCTATAAAAGTACAAAACTATATAATTTAGAGGTCTGAAATTGAAACACTCTGACTGTGAGGACGTTCTTTGCAATCGCTCGCTGTACGGAATTCCAAGCTACTGTCAGGTCAGGTTTTCAACCCCTTCAGGATCTACATGGGATTGTCGGGGTTGCAAGGGCTTTTCGGTCTGATGAAAAGGCATCTAATGATCGTAGCCATTGCAGCAAGCCTGTCGGTGCCAACCTGAGAATGAGCAATAACATTCATTCGCATAATCCGTACAAAGGCGACAATCCACCAATAGGCAATGACATTATTTTTGGAATAGAAAATTCTGATTGCAAGCTCAGCTCGAGGACTGCTGCAATGCACCAAGAAGAGCTTTGCGACCCTCGATGTCAGCATCGTTCATGCATTGGCAGATAGCCACGATGACATCACCACGGTCTCCACGCAGCAGGTTTTGGGCATTTGGAGGCGTTTTGTGGCCCAAACATCCAAAGTTCATCGAAGCAGAATATCGCAGGAGTACAGGAATCCAAGTGGATCTGATCATACTTGTCATTTGTATGCCAATGAGAAGCACATGAGAAGCAAGAATTCCAAATTAACCTCACAAGCGTTCCTCGTAAAGGCCGGTTTCGTCATTGGTCTGCTGTTCATTATTTCTCCGTCCTCTGACCCTCAATCCAGCCTGGTGCTGCCAAGTGCGTAAGTGTGATCAGCGCTGCCTTTCACAGCGAATCAGGGCGCACATGACAGAACTGATCACATGAAGAGGTTCAACAATAGTTCAACCAGTCACGTGCCGGAGGCATCTGTGCTTTCAAGTGGCAAAGTTAGCAAAGTTGCAGTTACAAATCGAGGAATTCATTGCCTTTCTGTTTCCAGCTGCAAAGCCAAGGATAAAGAGAGAAAGGACCCCAGCTGAAGAGGTAGACACGCAACTTTGGAAATCACACAATCCCGCATGAGTGAAAAGACAGGAGACAGTGACCAAATGCAACCAGATGTAATCAGCCTGATCAACCAACAAAGCAGACAGGTTAGAATCTATAGAGGCGATTGGGAAAAAAAGGGATACAACCAGCCAGCAATGTGCCCAGAACACCAAGCCAACAACATGCCAGCAAATGGGGAGAAAATGCCGACTAGCAGTGCTAGACTAGCAGGGAGAATACGAATGGGGATGGGAGGGAACACGATTTTCTAGACGGAGCACCAGAAAGCCCAGGAGGTGTTATTGCGTGCCTCCCTCACACCTGAGCATTGGTGGACCAAATGCTGTACGACAAGTGCTGCAGTTTGTGGATCACCCCTTCTTGCCTTAGCTCGCAGGAACAGTTTACTTGATAACCCCATGGGTTAATCTTTTGACGCAAGAACATCTACAAGCTTTGACTTCATATGTTTCTACCTTGCCTGTCATGACCCTGACTAGTGACTAGTGGCGAGGGTTGTTTCACTCTGTGTATACTAGATGCCGAGAAAGAGGGCGAGCCAGCATTGCCATAACTCCACGAACCATGTCAGTGGCCCCCAACTCAAAGCTCCAGAACTTGACTCGTAGGTTGCAGAAATCAAAGCCATACTTTGCACATTGAATCCTTGAGAGTCCTATTACATCTATACTATTTAGATGTCAATAGATGTCCATAGATGTCCATAGATGTCCTGTTGGTCTTTGAGTCGGTTTCCGTCTCCAGCAAAGCTTAGGTGCCACCTCACGAAGCGCATCAGTTGCAGCCATACGGACTCTGAGTTCAGAATCTGCGAGAGCACCAACCAACTTGGGCACCACCTGCGTATCGCCACGCCTCAAAGGGTCAATCAAAACATCCGAGACGGAAAGCCTTCATACATATCATACATCTTCACACCTTCACACTTCAAACGAATCAAACGAATCAAACGAATCAAACATCTGAAAGAAGTCCATGTTTTGGCCTGGCAAACTGCTTGATGACAGTGATGGCTTCCCTGCGAACCGCGCCGTCATGGTGACCAAAATAGCAGCTCACTGCCTGCGCAGGTCATTAGCTGCAACGATCTCCATTGATGTGCATTGGAAATTTCGACTCAGAGGGAGCTTGGCTCAACGGTGGGATTGTGTTCAACCAAAGCTGTTCTGATGAAGCTGGTGGGACGCATACGTTGCATGCAGCCCCTTAACATTTTCAGATCTAGGTAGGCTCTTCAGGAACAGAAACCTGCTGTCAGTCGCGCAGCATTGCCCTTTGCATCTCTTCATACGCAAACCTCTATACGTAGATACATGCGAGCCTGTATAAGAAAATGGATGCACCGCATAGGCAAAATGCATTATGTCGCATGCATGAAATTATGAGATACAAGTCACAGGACATAGGCCGGTACAGTCCATACTTTGCATAAATTGCATATGTGTGGCAGGATCTAACGCTCTGCATGCAGCAGAAACAGAACACAGATCCAGTAAATCCGCCCACACCGCTTTGGCGGTGAAGGCGTGCTTATTGGGGGGCAACAGCAACACTAAATGCTCAATGACATTTGTTAATATAGCAGTCGCTATATCAGCTTTAGCTGGGGGGGGGCAAAAACGGTTTCGCACCGAGACCAGAATACGGTGGTGTTTTCGACATTTTTCGAGGATTTTTGGGTGTCTGAGCGCAAGAGGGTATTGAAATGGAATTTTGGGTCATTTTGGTAGCTTTCCGGCAATGGAAAAACGGCCAAAAATGAAAAAAACATTGTACATAGCAAGATTTTGCAGGGTTTTGGATGCCAGAGCATTGAAAACACTGCAAAAACAAGTGTTTTGGACTGACGTTATAGCAAAAAACGTGTAAATTACCGTATGCTTGACTGGAAACATTACAAAAACACTGTCAAAAGCAATGTTTTGGAAGGATTTACTGCCTTTATGGCAAAAAACGTGTAAATTACCGTCTGTTTGACTGGAAACATTGGAAAAACACTGTCAAAAACAATGTTTTGGAAGGATTTCTTATATATATGTTGGAGTTTGGCTACCGGCATTGGAACATGGAAAAATTGAAGAAAACACTGTAAATAGCGGTATTTTCAACGGTTGGGGAGATAAGGGAATTGGAAGCATTGTCGAACATGATGTTTTCGACCGGTTTTATGGCGACAAAAGTGTAAAGTACCGTGCTTTGAAGGAAACCATTGCAAAAACATGGAAACACATTCAAAGAACACGGGATTTGGGGGACTATCTAGGCGTCGTTGTCTATATAGCTATTTGAAATTCCGCAGCTTGGAGAGCCTCCAAGGGAGGGAAAAGTGAAAATTCCATAGCTTGGGAAGCTGTCACGGCGGGGAAAAGTGAAAATTCCCTAGCTTGGGAAGCCCCCACGGGGGGGAAAAGTGAAAATTCCCTAGCTTGGGGAGCCCCCACGGGGGGGAAAAGTGAAAATTCCCTAGGTTGGGGAGCCCCCACAGGGGGGAAAAGTGACAATTCCCTAGCTTGGGGAGCCCGCACGGGGGGGAAAAGTGAAAATTCCCTAGCTTGGGGAGCCCCCACGGGGGGGAAAAGTGAAAATTCCCTAGCTTGGGGAGCCCCCACGGGGGGGGAAAGTGAAAATTCTTAGTTTGGGGAGCCCCCACGGGGGAAAACCACCCTTAGCCCCTCTCACGGACCGAAATAAACCTGCGGTGTGGGCGGCCACCCCACGCGAAGCGGGGTGAATACAGAGTGTGTATTTGAGTGCATACACAGACATGAATAGTGCATAGAATCTGTATAATCAAACCACATGAAACTACATGACCTCAACTATACTATACAGTAAATTACTTTACTTCGTGTGATCCCCACCATGACATTTATACATTTTCTTACTGGCAAATCTTCTGGCATTCTATCTGACATATCTTCTGACATTCTATTTGACATTCTATCTGGCATATCTTCTGGCATGTGATCTGGCATATCTTCTGGCATATCTTCTGGCATTCTATCTGGCAAATCTTCTGGCATTCTATCTGGCATATCTTCTGGCACTCTATCTGGCATATCTTCTGGCACTCTATCTGACATATCTTCTGGCATTCAATCTGGCATTCTATCTGGCATATCTTCTGGCATATCTTCTGGCATATCTTCTGGCATTCTATCTGGCAAATCTTCTGGCATTCTTTCTGGCATATCTTCTGGCATTCTATCTGGCATTCTATCTGGCATATCTTCTGGCATATTATCTGGCATTCTATCTGGCATATCTTCTGGCATATATTCTGACATATCTTCTGGCATTCTATCTGGCATTCTATTTGGCATTCTATCTGGCATATCTTCTGGCATATCTTCTGACATTCTTTCTAACTTTCTTCTGCACATTCTTTGTCCCATATCTTCCTACATGAGGTCCGGCGGGGAACACTTGGCGTGGATACTCGCGGTTGAGGTCCGGCAGGGAACACTGGGCGTGGATGGTCGTGGTTGAGGTCCGGCAGGGAACACTGGGCGATGATGGTCGTGGTTGAGGTCCGGCAGGGAACATTGGGCGTGGATGGTCGTGGTTGAGGTCCGGCAGGGAACACTGGGCGTGGATGGTCGTGGTTGAGGTCCGGCAGAGAACACTGTGGATCGCGGGTCGCAGTTGAGCAAGGACGACGAGGACGACGAGGACGACGAGGACGACGAGGAGGACGAGGAGGAGGAGGAGAGGAGGCGGAGGAGGAGGAGGAGAAGGAGGAGGAGGAGGAGAAGGAGGAGGAGGCAACTGACATAAAATCTAACAACCCTCACCTGGCAGGTGGGGAAAAAATAACATGCGTCTGTGCACAGCTCTCGCTGAAAACATAAAGTGCAGAGAAAATAAAGTCCGTTGAAAATGTAGATACATGACCTTGGACACGTTGATACACCAAGTAATGACAATGACAGGTAGTTGAATGATGTGCATGGTAGGACTGTGTCACTCGTATCACTTGGCGCTCTGTTTCCTGCCTCTACTGCCGTAGATTCTCCTTTGTCGCAAAGTCTTGTCAATGCTCGGTGAATCACCCGCCTGGCAAAAAGACATTGCCTTATCGAAAGTCTTGCCACAAACCTCTCCTTTTGGAAGGCGTCTCCTCTTTAAAGATGAGAAGTATACAGTATCGAACCCATCAAAACAAATGCGTCTGCATTCGCTTTGCATTCGCTTTGAATTCGTACTGATCTTCTTCTGGCAGGAACACTGTCTTGATCCCTTCTACAATCATTAGCATTTACTCCATCTCTGTCAGCAGCCAAATTTTCAACCATGGTGCCTCTTTCCGCCAAAAGCAAGGCCGAGCACGACAGCGCGAATCACTCGCCCGTCGCCGTGTCGACCCACATGGGCCAAGGTTGCCACTGCCTGTGGATGATCTAAGCTTTGGTCACGACCACTACCTGTCATCCGTCATTACCTGCAGCCAGCCTAAGCCTAGGGCTTATGGTCTGAAACCGGAAAAACAAGCGGCCTTCCACTGCCAGTGCCAAGTAGCGAGTCCCATGAGCAAGCGGTATTCAATCTTTCGATCTTTAATGTCTGGATCCAACCATTACTTTAGGAATAAGAACATACACGTAAAGTTGTTGGCTGCCTGCCTTGTCCACATCACAGCCCTGTCGCACTAGCTCAATCAGGGCTGTTTGCAACGATTCTTTGACTGCTCCAGAAATCTCCTCGGTGTTGGCAAAGCACATCTGCCATTCATTCGAACTACAAACATGTCAAACATCTACTGTTAAGTCAAGCACGGATGCCGAGGAACTTTCGAAGCTATCAGTATGGAAATCAGCCCCTGTACATCCAGATACGCTTCCCAACCCGGAACATGTTCTCGGACTTCTTGAAATCCCTGCACAAGACGGACTCATTGCTCAACAGCTGTAAAGACTGTAAAAATGCGAGACTGTACTTGGTCACTTCAGAACAGGCAAGCGGCAAGTGTACACATGGATCATCGGTCTCAAGAAGTACTGCTGAGCATGCATATGAACATTAAATCTGGCCTCTAAAGGCTTGGGCAAGACATCCATGCTCAGGCCCAATGTCAAAGTCGTCCCAAAACAGTTCAATGAGTTCTGAATCAAAATGAACTGACATGAATCAACACCCATCAACACCCAAAAAAATCAGCAACTCAAAAGCAAGAAATGTTTTCGGGCGAAAACCCACGGGCTACTCTCTTTGCATTGAAATGGCATCACACTGAATTTGACAAGCTTGAATAGACTCTGCATGCTTTCTACTTTGAGCCATGTCATTCCAACGCATTGCGAGACCCAAAATGTCATGCATGTTTGCATTCGGGGCATGCTCCATGTCCTGCAGCGTCTGAGAGGATTTCCTTGAAGGAAAACATCAAGAAAGGGCTGAAAGATGCTTTAAGGGAGAAAATATCTGCTTTTTAAGACTTGCTGCCGTGTTCCTTTTGTGTCTAGGAAGGATGGACGAGGATGTTAAGTGCTTTAAGTGCTAGGGCTGCTAGGGCTGCTAGGTAGAATTTGCATGAATTTGCTATGGGCGCAGGCCACAGCACAAGGCATTTGACTCAGACTCTTGAGGCATCTCTTCGCCAAGACACACGGGCGGCTGTTCGGGGCAATTGCCACCTGGTGGACACGAACGGTATAATTCACACGAGGAATCCAAAGAGAAACTATGTAAGGGACTTCTCAATTACAAACCGGAAATGTTTGAAGTATCTTGAAGATCATAAGATCATAAGCACCTTGCCATGAGTCCTGGTATCCCAACCTCGAAGGAGACAAGCTCACCTGGCACCAACCACGTGCAGCAAGATCAGCTTAGTGGACCCCAGAAAAGTTAGAAGCAGACAATTTGGGCAGTCCAAAAAAGGAATCCTAGTCCCTCTCTTCTTTTTCGGCCTCCGGGCTTGCAGGAAGGGAAGACTTAGTTTCCTGCGCGATCCAAAGTCATCTGCAGCACACATCAAGGCTTGCAGAGTCACGCAAATGTGCAAAAACAAAGGCCAACAAAATTGGAATAAGAATGTGCAGGAAGAAAGAGGATGGACGGCTTACAAGAAATTCCGCTGGGAGACAGAACAGGAACCGAGGAATGGTTTCACACACCACAGGCCTCAGCTGCCTCAGCTGACGTGCTTGGAACATCTTGGAACATCTTGGCATGTCTTGACACTCCAGGCTACATGGCCAAGACAAGGAGACAAGGGGATGTCCTCCGATCGAGGAGACGAGGGTCGCGAAGACATGGGTGAACGTCGCGAATCCACCTTGTCACACTTCATCCCTGGTCGCGAATCCCTTGGCATATATGCATCTATGATTCTACAAATAGATATGTATGTAATAGTATATGTATGTATATATATATATATACATTAGTTGTGAGATGTAAAGCATAGATACTCAAAACGGTTCACCCTATCCAGGCTCACATCCGCATAGCTTTTTCTTCCCAGACTCTTCGTGCGGTCTCAACCTGCTCCTCGCAGGATAGTGCTTTGGAACGCTGTGCAGGTAGTCTCCTGCACAGCAGCACTGGTTGGATCCGTACACCCTGTTCCGCACTCCTGTAAACTCAGGAGGCTGCACAGGTTGAATCTCTCCCGCCCAGTGCTACAGTCGTGGGACTCCACGTAGAGATCAACATCCTCAATGATGTGATCCCCTACAAGAGAGGATACTCCACCGGAGTCCTATCTCATAGGGAGGGAAGGGAGGGAAAAGAAAGAACGATGAAGCCAGTTTGGCTCAGACTTGAGCCAAAATGGATTCATCAGCTTACATACTCACCCTAATGATAATGCACACCCAGTGCCTGCCAAACACGATGCATACATACATTAGTTGTGAGATGTAAAGCATAGATACTCAAAACGGTTCACCCTATCCAGGCTCACATCCGCATAGCTTTTTCTTCCCAGACTCTTCGTGCGGTCTCAACCTGCTCCTCGCAGGATAGTGCTTTGGAACGCTGTGCAGGTAGTCTCCTGCACAGCAGCACTGGTTGGATCCGTACACCCTGTTCCGTACTCCTGTAAACTCAGGAGGCTGCACAGGTTGAATCTCTCCCAATGCACTTCTATCCCAAAGCACTCAGAGAAACTCCACAACCCGGAGAAACGCGGGAAGTGGTAGAGACCAAATCTCGAAGGGGAAAAATGCAAAATGCGTGGTGAACCCATGGCGTCGATGCCATGTTGCCTGAAGGCCATCTCGGCTGATCTCGTCTGACCAGTTGGCCTTACTAGGGATCCACTCCCAGAAAAACCAAGCTTTAAGACCAAAAAGGGTAATATGAATCAAACGAGACATATGCTCTAAATCTGCATTGTCAGAACGACCTCGAATCAAAGCCATGAGCGCTGCTGTGTTGTCGATGAACCAGAGACCTCGTCTGCCCCGAAACATGGACGGCCGCGAAAACAAAGCATAGAGAACCTGCAGCAGCTCTAACTGGGCAATCTTCTTGTCACCAGGCTCCCATAGGCTGTACACCAATGGAGGAATGAGAGACACAAATGCCCCTCGCTGCGGTGATCGTCATGCCACACCACCAGGAAGCCCCCTGTGCCCTGACCTGGGCTCTCCAATGCAGCGTCAGAAGCAGCAAGGAAACGGAGCCCTGCATGTGGCCAGATCTCAATGTGTCTGGAGGGTCGGGTGGTGATGACGGTGCGCAAAAAGCTGAAACATTGGCGCAACTCCTCAGTCAACTCTGCGGAGCGCTCCTGCTGTCTGCGCTTGATGGGGGCCAGGCCACCGCAGCCAATGCGCCCCCACACGCCAAGCTCAAAGAAGTTGGCGATGCCGTAGATCTTGGCAGCCACCCCTGGTTGCAGTTTACTGGAATCCTCAGCAATCTTCATGAGGTGAAGCAACTTGGTCTCAATGCGCTCACGGGCCCAAAACTGAACTAGGCCCTTCGAATGAACTTGACTGAAATCATGATCAAGGCCCAGGAAGGTGCCGGTACTCTGCATCTTCTGGCATTTCTCTTCTGAAAACGGAGTACCCAAAAGGTTGTTGAGTGTCTGCATCGCACGTTGACCTGATCCTCTGCAGAATTTGCGGTCTGTCACATGAGCATCATCAAAATACAAGCTCGTCAAACAAAAGGCAAATCGACGTGATAAAGCCTCCACAAAGCGACTGTATCGATTGAAAGATGTGACTGCAAGAGGAAGACCAAAAAGCAAACCAGTGTAAATCATAAAAGCTGGTTGTTGCCATTCATGATGGAAGAAAGCCACAATGCAGCACAAAGCCTCATCCCAACTCATAGGGCAAAAACGATAGGCATCAGGCCAATCCTCGCCACCTGACTCCCATTCTTCCGCCTCCCAGCTGGGGGGGAGGCATAGGCATACTGCAGGTGCTGAGCCGGCCGCAGCGCTGAGCAAAGGGTGAGCTTGTTCGCGTCACTGGATCGCTCAGATTGCAAGCCGACATAGGCGTCGTCAATCACTCTTTGCTTCCCAGATGATTGTGTGATGACGCATCGGGGGATCAACCGGTAGGTTTCCGTGCCCAGACAACGATGCAGTTCCTCTGCAGTCATTGGCAAACCACAGAAGCCCTTCTCGGCATCTTTGAGGCTTTGCTGCAGCAGAAATTCGTCATCGGCGCCTGGCCTCACCCGAGCCAAAATGGTGTTGTTGTGGCTCTGCCAGTCCTGGAGGACATCGTCCCGTGTCAGACGGGTGGCTGCTTGTTCTGGAAAAATGCCATACGGCGGCGCATAGCCCACTGCTGGAAGCCCCATACACAGGCCTGCTGGCAGTGTCACATCGCCCCAATTGGCCAAAAGAAGGAGAATTGCTGTGAAACCGACATCTCGTTGCAATGTCGCTGTCCGGATGGCCTCAGTCTGTTTACCTCTCAAATGGGCTGTGATCGTGCTCCACCGCCGCTTCATCTCTGATAAGATGCCCATGGATCGCTCTCTCAACCTACGCAGGTCGACTCCTGGCAGGCTGGAGAAAGATGCGGCAAACCTCAGGTCATCATCCAAAATGGGAAGCCCCTCAGTAGGCAAAGGTTGCATGCTAAGCTGAAGGGCGTTCTCGAAGTGCTGGCCTGGCTGAAGGTGGAAAGGCAGAAGAGGGGCTAAAGCCGCTCTGTGGTTGATGGCTCCCACCTGCTGACCTTCTGCTGTCCTCATCTTCTGCCTCATCGAAGGGGCTGCCAAAACTGGGTTGCTGCTGCCCTCCATGTCCAGCCCCTGCTGGTGGCGCCATCGCACATACAGGTCGAGCGGGTTGGTTCACCAGGTCCTCCACGAAGGGGATGGCTACACCTTCAAACCATTCTCCTGGGTAGAGCTTCTTGAAAGCTAACGCTAAGGACTCTTGCAGAATGTAGAATGGCCCAAAAGGGATGCCTGTAGCCTGCGCGACACTCGACAAGAGGACACTTCGGGTAACTCCCTTGTGACTCCTGCCATGCTGTCCTTGGACCACTTGTGGGGCTCCTCGATGGCCCTGCGAACTCAAGCGATCAAAAATCAGCCCGGCTAGGAGGTCGGCCTCGCAAGTTTGGGCTGCCGGGCAATCGCAGACTAGCACTGAGCCTTCTAGCTCATCCAACTCGCACCAGAGTGTCTCCCTGATGTATTGGACATAGTAGGGGACCCAGTCTTGAGGGGTGCAATTCACTCCAACCTGCCATGGAGACTTCCATTTGGTGGTAGGTAGGCGGTGGGTATGACTCCCCAGCCCCACGTACACATGACCAGGGGGGAGTGCACCCTGTTGCAGGACATCCTCGACACATGCTCTGGTGGGCACCCTGGCTGCTTCGGCTGTGTCCAAGGGCCTCAACCCCAGGCTGATGGCTAGTGGAGTCATAGCCCACTCGCGAAGTGCTCTGGGATCGAGATCAAGCCCATGGTCCCGATGGCCAGTGCAGCTCGGTGATGGGGACCTCGGCACATAGAGCTTGGCGTGGCCCACACGCACTGCCCACCACGATGCCGCCGTGGGGATGGCAAAACATAGCTCTGCTGTGTACTCTGACTCCTCAGTTGAAGGGAAGTGGCGCTTACCATCCTGCACCCAAGGTTCCCATTCCTGTGGGTCATGAAAGTGGTTGCAATCAGCTCTGGGCCATTGGGCAATCTCAGCAATGTTGTGGCGCAGCCTCTGCAGCTTCGCTCTTGCGCCTCCAAAACAGCAAGCTGAATACCGCTGATCTGACCAGCGACCGCTCTCCCACATCGCCACCTCATCTGGCGTCCACCAGTGGAGGCTGTTATATGGGTTCTCGCGGACTGATCCACCACCCCTGTCCACCAGTTGATCAATCTCTGACAGCACAAAACTGGCAGCTGCATTGTCCTGCTCCACCCTGACCAACTGAGACCCTGTTAAGTCAGGGAGACCCAGCGGGTGTTTCTCAGATCGCAACGGCCGGGGTGGTGGGCGCCCATCACCGAAGTCGCGCGGGATCTCCCTTGCTCTGCTTTTGGTAGAGCAGCCCAAAGCTGCTGCTATGAAGCACACTGACTGTAACTGCTCATGCAAGGATTGCTGCCTGAGGCCATTGGATAGGTCATGGCTGCTGTCAAGCATCCAATCCACTGAGATGGTCTCCCAACCACAAAAGATGAAGGCTTTGGACAAAGGTGTGTTGGGCCCCGCATAAAGGTCCGCCATCCGTGGCAGCTGACAGTTGACTCTGTCTACGGGTCTTGCCTCATCCTGCCCAGCAGAAGTGCCCGCCTCTCCCGCTGGGCCCCGTCATGGCAAAATC